ACTGCAGCTGTAGTCTCCCAATCATCCTCAACATGGCCCAGAACTTACTCCAGTCCCTTACTTCCATCCTGAAGTCTTCACAACCTGTCTCTTTCCTTAGTTTCCACCACTTGATCTTCTGCTCTGTCTTCACTCTCTTCCCTTTTGTCACCTCCATCGTCATTTTGCACACTACCATCCGATGTTTTTTGACTACACTCTCGCCTGCCACTACCTTACAGTCTCTACTCTCAGATTACCTCTTCTACATAGAATATAATTTATCTGTGTGGACCTGACTCCACTCTTGTACATCACCCTGTGTTCTTCTTTCTTTTGGAAATAGGTGTTTACCACAGCCATTTCCATTCTCTTCTTGAAATCCACCACTGCCTGTCCTTCCAAGTTTTTCTCCCTAACACCAAACCTACCTATCACTTCCTCATCTCCTCTGTTCCCTTCCCCTACATGACCATTAAGGTCTGCTCCAATCACCACTCTCTCTCCCCTGGGGATACTCTCTATCATCCAATCCAGAATTTCTCCTTTTCCTCCAACTCACAGCCCACTTGTGGGGCATAACCGCTAACAACATTTCCTAACATCATCACTCCTTCTATTTCTACCTTCACACACATCAACCTGTCTGACTCTCGTTTCACCTCTACCACATTTCTTACATATTCTTCCTTTAGGATCACCCCTGCTCCATTTATCTTCCCATCTGAACCATGATAAAACAGTTTGTAGCCTCCTCCAATGTTTCTAGCCTTGCTGCCCTTCCACCTGGTCTCCTGCACACAAAATGTCTACTCTTCTTCTCTCCATCACATCAGCTAGTTCTCTACTTTTCCGTCATTGTACCTACAATCAGAGTTCCAAACTTCAGACCAACACTTCTATTCTTCCTCTTTTCTCTTTTTCTCCTAACCAAACACCCTCCTCTTCTTCTCTGTCTTTGACCAACAGTAGCCCAATTTCCATCAGTGCCCTGTAGGTTAACGGCACTGTTGGCGGTCGTTGTTAGTGATTCGCATATTTGATTTGGCTAAAAGTTTTACGCCGGATGCCCTTCCTTACGTAACCCTTACCATTTATCCGGGCTTGGGACCGGCACTATAAAACACTGATTCATGTACCCTAGTGGCTGGTTTTGTACCCTAGTGACTGGTCTTCCCATTACTATTACAAATATAACCATGACATATGCAGGGACTGTTTTATGGGGATCTCCTGTGACACCTGGTCGGTGGTAGCAGGCGTAGCTCTGCCCCGATTGAGGCACTGTGGTCTATAAGTCTATTCAGACTTTCTTTATATATATTCAGTCTTTTTGTATATATTTATTCAGACTTTTTGTATATGTATTCAGACTTTCTGTATATATATTCAGGATTTTTGTATATATATTCAGACTTTTTGTATATATATTCAAAGATTAATTTCCTGAACGGCATGCCATCATACGTATATATATATATATATATATATATATATATAAATTGCTTCATTCTGTTATATACTGTATATATTACAATTATAATAAACAAAGTGGAAGTGTGGTAGTGGCGCTTTGGCCCAGAGGTCTCTGTCATTGGTGTGGAACCCCAGAGTTCACCTCCTGGGCAAGTTCGAATCCCGGTTAGGGTGGTTGGTACCTTCCAGTGGACTCACCACCTGCAGGAAGGTTTAGGGGGGGTTGGTATGGTGCAATGTGATTTGGGTGGCGACTGCTGTTCCGTGACCCGGTAACGGATAAGCGGATAAAAATGGATGGATGGATGAAAGTGGAAGTTGTAAGATAAAACGTAATAAATAAATGTAATAAAATAATAGGATAAAACTATATATTTTGAAGTATTTTTGGATAATTATATTACAATTATGTCATCTTAACTATAAGAAATGCCATAATTGAGAGACAAAATATATGGGATCAGGGATTAAATTGATCAGAGTCAAAATACTTTTTGGATCTCTGTACTGTTCAAATATGAAAAGCTGTGACAAAAAGATTTAAAAAAAAAATCTGAAAAAGATGTCCAAACATCACACACTTTTTACGTAGAAATAAACAAAATCAATGTTCTTGTCTTTTCTCCAGGTGACAGAGCTGGAGTGTCAGAGTACCCAGACTCCGGTGATCAAATCCCAGAAAACCGAACTCAACCAAACCATAGAGGAGCTGGAGAACACACTAAGGGATAAAGAAGAGGTTTGTGTGTGTGTGCGCATGTGTGTGTTGATTTATATATGCTCTATTAAACTTGTTATGCCCCTCAGGAAATAGAAAAGTTGAAAGAAGAATTGGAAACCATGAATGATCTCATGGAGCAGAAAGACACTCTAACCCAGAATCTTGAAGTGAGTTAACAAGTGAAATCTATCTGTGTAATTCATCGGGAATAAAAACCCACCTAAAAACTGTCAACAATTCTGTCTCTCCCCCGCAGGAGACAGAGCTTCGCAGCAGGGTGCTGGAGGAGCAGCTGGCAGGAGCAGAGCAGCGACTACAGGAGAACCAGGAGGAGCAGGAGAACTTCAGGAAGAGCCTACGAACGCTGCTGGAGCTGCTGGACGGCAAGATCTTTGAGCTGACGGAGCTCAGAGACACCCTGGCTCGACTCATAGAGGAGGCCAGCTAGAGACTGAGCTGCCCGATCCCCACAGACAGAGCCATATGATAATTTTAGTACCCTCACACCTCTATCTCAACAAAATCAATCCTACCCACAATGCCTGACGTTTCTCCTTCATTCATTCACACTGAGACACTGCACTGCCCGATTTTAAATATGCTCAAAAATGGTGCAGCTAGTTCCTGGGGTTTTTTCAAGCTCAGTGTGGTGTGGATTCCTGACACAAGGCCAAACCAACGCATCTTTGTAAATAAGAATATTACTATGTGTGTCAGCGTGTGTGTGTTTTGTGCAGTGGGAGAAAAGGTTTTTTGGACACAAAGGCTGACATGCACTCACTGAGGAATACCAGACATGCTCTGTGCGACACCTCTATGTAACTCTATCAGGTATTCTACTCAGTGGAGTCATGCAGAGAGGTCAAACTGTCAACCGCTAAACTGTGTGGCAGCCCTGTCTCATCAAAGTAAAGCATCACAAAAGGCCTTTGGAGCGCCACCTACATGTTTTTTTTTGTGAATATCCACCCTCGGTGAAAGCAGGCCGCAGATTTTTACTTGTCTCGGGTAAATTCAGAGCACTAAGTTTCTATTCATCTTTTTTATACATAGATTATAACACTGACTATATAAATATAGAACTATAGAGGACACACTTTTTACTCATGGTGACAATGTAAATGGATAATTAATGCAAATGCAGTGACACCCTGCAGTGCGTTATTGTTGTATATTAACCAGTGGAAAGGTGTTACGGAGGCTGATAGGATGAAGTCTGTAACAATGGATACATCTGAGATAACTGTCCAAAAGACTAAGCTGTCCATTTTCAGCGCTGTTGTTGCGGTCACAGAGTAATGACAGTTGAAAATCACATTATTCTTGTAAAAAGTCGGTAGATTTAAAAAAGAAAAAATCTCTACCAGAGGAAAAAAGAAGAACAAAACCCATCTGTTTAATTGATGCCTGCAACAAAGGCAGTTGAAGACTAGAGAATGACTCACAAAAGATTCAAGGAGGTTCCTTAGTTACCATGCTTGCTGGTGACTGTTTTGGAAATCATAATTACTTATAAAAAGATAATCAATCACAGTAATAAGCTTTGGAATGCCAGTGTGTTCTGTTAGAGAAGAATCCTACTACTGTAACCAGGAACCTTTAAGCAGCTTTAGCCTCTCATACAGCAAAAATCAGCTTCCACATTCAGTTGCAAATTAGGAAGAATCTGTTTCCTAATTCCTTTTACTTTACATGTCCAGCTTCGCCAACAATTCCAAGATTGAGGGGCAGCATGTGTAAAAGAAAGACACCTGGTTCTGCTGGATCATTCAGATATCAGAGCACCTAATGTTCTGGAGTGATACAAATTTATGGAAGCAATCAACTACAACAGAGGTATGTTGCTGCCTGTAGGAACAACACATCTAATACTATTTCTTGTATATTTGAAAAATATATGACTTAGTTTAACACAAAGTGGTGTATTATAAGGTATCAGGCCATGTTGCTCGTTGCACTAGTAATGATATGTTGAACTTATTAACAAACATGAAACATCCTGGTCCCCTTTTGTGCTGGTTAATACACAGCAATACGACTCACTGTTAGAGGAATGTTACCAATGTCTTTCTTCCTGATTTAACTTTGAAAGTGAAATGACGGAGATGGAAATCTTACTGTTAATGCTGTCATTCATAAATGCCTTTGTACAGAAGTGGATATTAGCTTTTCATTCTCCTGTTTTGTAATTTATGTTGTTAAATGTAGGTATTATTATGAATATTATCATTATTGTATTTAGAGGTATGAAAAGACTGACAATATTTTTGACTATTTAAAGTAATTTTGAACTCATGATTAAAGAGGTACCTCATGCTACAGATTTTTGTAGATTGGTGAGACATGTGGGTTTGCAGGTGAAAGGATTTACCAAATGCCGGTGAAAGCTGTCGATGGTTGGACTGAGCTAAACAGCCAACAAACACCTCTGTGAACCAAGAAATGTTTTATATATTTAAATATCACACAGTTCAAGGTGTAACATTTTATTTTCTTCTTTTGTTGATTTAAAAAGTTTAGTCAACAGTGAAACAGACAATCTCAGAATCTGCTTTCTGCTTTCAATCTGTTTTAATCAAATCAAATGCCAGGCCAGGCTGTAAAAAAAATAAAAAATAAATAAAGGAAGGTGTAGGAGTGGAGGTGAGAGGTTTTCATCCATCCATCGATCACCCAGACTTCCCTCTCCCTCGACACTTCCTCCAGCTCTTCTGGGGGGACCCTAAGGCGCTCCCAGGCCAGGCACCCGAACACCTCCGGGAGGTGTCCGGGGGACATGCGATGTAAATGCTCAAACCACCTCAGCTGACTCCTCTTGATGTGAAGGAGCAGCGACTCTACTTCGAGCTCCTCTCGTGTGACAGAGCTCCTCACCCTATCTCTAAGTGAGCGCTATGCCACCCTGCGGAGAAAGCTCATTTCAGCCGCTTGTATCCGGGATCTCGTTCTTTCGGTCCCGAACTGGACCCCACCCGACACCTGGCTGTGCCTAGAAATTCTGTCCATAAAGATAATGAACAGAACCGGTGACAAAGGGCAGCCGTGCCGTAGTCCACCATGCACCGGGAACAGGTCCGACTTAATCCGACAGCCCTTAGAAGAGGGCCCCCAACCCCATTCTCTCAGAGCACCCCCCACAGAATACCGCAAGGGACACGGTCGAAAGCCTTTTCCAAGTCCACAAAACACATGTGGACCGATTGGGCAAACTCCCATGAACCCTCAAGCACCCTGTGGGGGGTATAGAGCTGGTCCAGTGTTCCACGACCAGGACGAAAACCGCACTGTTGGTTTTCATTTATATACTATTTTTAACAACTGCCATCTCTAACAAGCACATTCTTTTCATATCGCTCATCTGAACTCCTGGAAAATTGCATTTTATTTGTCTTTTTCTATCTTATGTTATAATTTTCCAAGGGCACTTGAGCCACAGGTTGCACACCACTGACCCTGACCCTTTTTGGCCCCCTTGTATTGGCTTCCCTTTTATGTCATTTATGTTTGTGAATGATCCAAATATGCTGATATTTCGAAAAACCCAAATGCAGGACTCGATCTCCAATCAAAGCAACACAGTTTATTTACAAAAAATACAGGGGGTGAATCAGTGACAGCGTGGACTGTGAAGAAGTGTGCCAGTGAAAACGAGGTGACTCCAAACAATTGCTCCCTTCCTCCACACACGTTTTCTCCAATGCTTGAATCCCACTCCTGTGTATCAAGCGACATTGTCAGGAAACTTTGTTAGATAGGACTCTAAAAAATGCTATTAGTTCATACCCCAGTTTCTTAACACACAAAGAATCAAATAAAATCAAATACGAGATTTAAAAGTTTAAAAGTTTTACTTGCAGCAAGGAGTGCAGAACAGTGGATACATTCAGAACTGCACTGAGGAAAACCTCAGTGCTCAAAGCTTAAATACAGTTTTTTTACACACACACTTCAATGGTCAGTACCCTGGCATTCCACAGCCATGCTGTGTTCACGCGTCACTTCTGAGCACTGATTGGTAATGACTGCTCCAAACAAGGATTCTCGACCAATAGGAGCTATGTGCATGTGCTGTAGTTAATCAAGTCAGATAAGACCATGCAGTTCGGATGTTTTTCTCTCTTTGTCTTTTGTTGGTCTTCCGTCGGTCTCCTTATTTGGGCAAAGAAACCAGTTCTGGCCGGTTCTGTGTCCTGTCTCTATCTCCAAGTGTAACATTCGGTACCATTCAGTGCTGTCCATATCATCCTGTTATGTAATCCGTAATCCAAATGTATTTACAACATCTTAACAGACATAAAAAAAGGAAGTTATCCACACGGTAAGCAATTCGATATAGAAGTTAGGCCACGTCTCACCAACCAATGTGTGTAGTGCAACACTCTGGCGCTGATTCTCTGGCAGGGCGGACCTTAAATACTCCCTCCGTGTCCTGATTGATTATAATATACTAGTTCTGACCCATCCATCCATCACCATCCTCTTACCCGGGGCCGGGTCGTGAGGGCAACAGTCTGAGCAGGGACACCCAGACATCCCTCTCCCTCGACACTTCCTCCAGCTCTTCTGGGGGGACCCCAAGGCGCTCCCAGGCCAGCCGAGCGACGTAGTCACTCCAGCGTGTCCTTGGTCTTCCTCTCGGTCTCCTCCCAGAGGGACAGGACCCGAGTACCTCCCGAGGGAGGCGACGGCAACAATAATCACCCACTATTCTACTAATACTACTAACACTATTGGGACCCCAAGGCGCTCCCAGGCCAGCTATATCTAATCTACTAACATCCACTGTTCAGGTTTCCAATATTCATTGACAGTGTGCTGCTGCACTTGTTTGTATTTTATTGTATTCTACCTATCCGTGTGTTTTTACTGTTTTTTTGGTGGAGCCTAAACTCCGAAAGGATTAATAAAGTGCTATCTATCTATCTGTCTGTCTGTCTGTCTGAAACCCATCAGCCGCTGTGAATGTCGAACAGTGGGCACATACACCCACACCAGGAAGACAACCACCACAGTACCCCACCCCCCAACGGGTGCCTCCTGGCACCCTAAGCTTATCTGGGTGAGTACGGTGGAACTTCTTAATAAGAGTGGGGTCCAAAATGAGGGAAGGGGCCACTCATGAGCTGGGGCCAGAGCACCCATGAGCTCTGGCCCATAATCCTCCCAGTCCACCAAGTATTGCCAACCCCTACCCCTCTGACGGATGTCCAGCAGTCGCCAAACAGTGACGCCGGGTGACCATCGATGAGCTGGGTTGGAGGAGGGAGATCGGTCAGAGGGCACAATGGGCTGGAGGTTACTGGCTTGAGTAAGGAAACATGGAAGGTGGGGTGTATCTTAAGGGACGGGGGAAGTTTTAGGTGAATCCCAGAGGGCCCGATGATCCTTTTGATCTTATAAGAACCAATAAATCGGGGGGCCAACTTACAACCCCCGCCTGTAGGGGAATGTCCTTGGTCGAGCAGGAGACCGATGTCTATATGGAGAGTCCATAAGAGTGGCTAAGGCTGCCTTGATACAGTGTCTCGTATCAAGGCAGCCTTAGCCACTCTCCAGACTCCAGACTACGGACTCGAGTTATGTTCTTCTGTACTGATGGAACCGCCACCTCCCTCTCCTGTTCAGGGAAAAGAGGGGGCTGATAACCAAGGAAAACCATAAAGGGTGTCATGTCAGAGAATTGTGAGCATATTCCACCCAGGGAAGGAACGAACTCCAAGATGCTGGGTGGCGGCTGGTTACACACTGGAGGGTGGTTCCCAAGTCTTGATTTACCCACGCCGTCTGATCATTTGTCTGGACAAACTGGTCGATGCTCCCAAAGACTTGCAAAAGGACTTCCACACTTGCGAAGAAAACTACGGACCCCGGTCTGACGCGATGTCCTGGGGGACTTTGTGAAGTTGGAAGGTCCGCAGTTTCAGATGCTGAGGGGAGCTTAGGGAAGGGAATGAAATGCACAGCCTTGGAAAATCAATTATAGTTAGAATAGTGGTGTTACCTTCTGACAATGGTAGACCGGTCACAAAGTCCATGGCGATGTGGGACCATGGGCAGCTCGGGGTTGCCAGTGGCTGCAGGA